CGCCTGCAGGCGCCGCCAGCAATGTCAGTGGCACCTTTTTGCAGGGGGTGCACCACCATGCTCAGGGGGTGTGCATGCACCTGCTTGCACCCCCTACACGTCACCAATCCTGCTATTCAATCCCCCCCCAGTCTTCTCTTCTGCAGGCTAAATAAGTTCAGTTCCCTCAGCCTGTCCTGAGAATCAAGAATGCAAACACCCGCCCTATCAAACTACCCCCTTCTTAATACATCCAGGCAGGGAGAGGCTGGGCAATGGTGGGGCTGGTGGCAAGGGAGTCTGTATGCAGCTGTGGGCCTATCACTGCTGCCTGCACCAGTCCCCACTCCCCCTGGTTCAGTCCCACCTGCCCGGACCCCATGGCGGCGGTGGCCGAGCACACGGAGAAGCTGGTGCACAAGTACCTGCTGTTCCATGGCTTCACCGGCGCCTCGAAGTAGCTGGACATGGAGATAAAGGCGGATCAGGAGAAGGGCTTTTGGGTGAGCTGCCGCCAGCTGGAAGGGGACTCCAGCACCCACTGTGAGACACGGCCCAGGGCCTGCCAGGCTGGTGGTGCCCAGGGCGGGGAGCTCGGTGCCCAGACATGCCAAGGGATGGTGCCTGGTTGCTCAGTGCAGCATCTCTCCCTGTAGCTGGGATCCTGAGGGAAGAACAAGCCTGTGCCCATGCACTGGCTGCAAATTCTTCATCCTCTTGTTGCTACCACCATTCAAAGAAATGGGTCCATATGCCTGACTGATCTGTTTACCTCACCCCTTTGGCCCTCTCTGGTAGTACCCTTAGTTCAGGGAAGCATTAGTTCTTAGCAATATGTTCTTCTCCACATGTGTGTGTTTTGACACCTGCTTTTCTGTGTTTGAGCATTAAAGGCCATCACCCCTGCAGCCATATTCTTTCAGACCAAATACACATAAAGGACATCACACCTGCAGCCATATTCTTTCAGACCAAATACACAACTAATGTGTGACAGAACAAAGAGCAATGGTCTCAAGTTGCAGCAAGGGCAGTTTAGATTAGATATTAGGAAAAAACTTTCTCACCAGGAGGGTGGTAAATCACTGGAACCCAGAAAGGTGGTGGGATCTCCATCCTTCTAAGTTTTTAAGGCCAAAGACAAAGCCTTGGCTGGGATGATCTAGTTGGAGACAGTCCTGCTTTGAGCAGGGGGTTGGACTAGATGACCTCCTGAGGTCCCTCCCAAATCCTCATTTTCTATGATTCTTTAAGGAAAGCATCTCATTTGACTTGAGTCATATTTCACCATTTACACTTGAGCTGAATTTCTGAGATTTTTTTCCCATAAATTGATTAACTCTGGGTCATTAAAAGGCCTCACCCTGCTTCAGATACTTAAGTGTCCAAGAAGCTGAATCAATGATTCACAACCAGGGTGCCTTGATATCCTTTCAAGGGTGCTGCACAATGTTAGCACCTGTTAGGCATGGAAACACGATTCACAAGAGAAACCCAGAGGTTGCAAACAAGGAATCCAAAAACATCCTGACTTGTGGCCTTTGTGAGTTCTTTCCAACAGCAGAATTGCTCTATTATTTCTCTGTAGTCAGTGAGTGAAAAACTAAGATCTGACATTGAACAAGGGGTGCCAGTGTCTATGAAAGGGTGCCTTGAGACTCTCAAGGGGTGCCTTGATACTAAGAAGGTTGAGAGCTGCTGAGCTCAATCAGTTGTAGGTGCTTAGGTCCCCTGAGTTTGTCATAAGTAGTCGACAAGAGAGATAAGAGATCTGAGCACAACACACTGAGCATAGCCTGGGGATGCCCAGCTACACCTGAAGGCTAAACACGCCACGGGATTCCCGGCCCCAACCTCTCTCATTAGCATCTCAGATGCACTCTCTGCAAACTACAAATCTCAGCATGCAATTCTCCGTGAGGGCGGTCTGCCCGCACTGCATGCTGGGATTTGTAGTCCCCGCAGTCCCCACGGGAATGCAGTCTCAGAGCACGGGCTACAATGCCGATAATGCTCCCGTGGGGTTCAAAAGAGCTGTAAGAAGCGAGCGGACAGACGATGCACAGCCCCAGGACGCTACACATTGGCCAGAACCACAGACCGGGGGGAATCACTCTGACTGAGATAGGGGAGGCGCATTCGTGCCTCAGTGAGGAGCACTTGAGGTCGCGCTCGCCACTTCCCATGACTGCAAGCCCCTCCCCCCCAATCTTTTCCCGCGCTTTTGTTGCCCGCTGTAGCAACAACTGCCGCACCAACGTTCTACCCCAGTCCCACCTGCCTTCCTATTGGCTGCCGGAGATGCCTCCTGCGCCCCGATTGGCTGCCGACCACGTGCGGCTGGTGTTGCTGGGGTCGGGGTCGCGGTAGCCGCGTGGCTCCTGCGTCTATGGGTGGGAGCGACCTGCGGCTATGGGTGGGAGCGAGCCAGCCAGCCTGGTCGCGCCTGGGAGCTGTGCCTGGGACAAGCCAGAGTGCGGGATGAGGCTGTAACTATAGAGAGCTGAGAGGGGGGTGTGGAGTGGGAACAACCCGCCAGGGGCAGGGGCAGGGGCAGGGGCAGGGGCTACAGGGAGGGGTGGGGAGCAGAGCCGAGCCGCCCCTTCCTTACCCCCATGCAGCGTGGTCCACCCTCCTGCTATGCTAGCCTATGTACTGGGCAGGCAGAGCCACTTCCCAGGCCTAGGACACATTGCTGCTGGAACAATTTGTGCCCTGCTAAGGGCTGGAAAAATCCAGACCAGAAACACCCGTACCCCTCCTTTGATTCTCTAAGATCTCTCTTTCTAGAGGCACAACGGGGAAGCTGGGGCTTGCTGTAGTGACTTGGTTTTGTTTGGTCTAATTATTTTTTTCCCCAGTTCTGGAACCCTTGGAGCAAGTGATTTAGGCTGACTCCTAATCTCTCCTCCAGTGTGGTTTAGAAAGGCCAAAAAGTCAACAAGAGTTGGGAGTGGGAGGGAGACTAGGATCATTTCCCCCCACAAGCAGACATTTAAAAAATCCTGTATCATTCACCATGTACCGTCGTGTTTTGGTAGTATTTTACATTAGAAGAGGGAAGGAAGTTTTCAGGACCAGAGTGTATAGGAGTATGAAAAGGTGGTGAGGCCTTTAGTCTGACAGACCAGAAAATGGAGTAATACTGATGGCTCTGGTCTTCATACAGAAAGCAAACTATCTTTGATAACCCTTTTTAACCCTATGCAAATTGTGAGATTGAGCCATGTTCAGATACTTCGTTCATGTTGCCAAGGTAATGGCAGCAAGCATTCCAAGACTCATTTCTGTTGAAGGACATCAGCTATCTTCTCACTGTGCTTGTATCTGTTCCTAAATCCATATATTAAAGTCATTAATAGCATTTGGAAAAAATAAAAAATGTAACGTTTGATAAGCATTACACATTCATTTTTATTTATGTGGCATTTGCCATGATTGATACATTCATACAAACTCAGTAATCAAAACCAGTAAACAGATGCATTCAAATGTGGCTACTATTCCATAATGCAATACCAAACAAGTACACAGATTAGCAATAATTACCTTATGTTTTAATTTGGTAGGTTTCAGTACCACATCCATGTGTGGACTCCACCCTAATGCAGTTCTAAAATAGCATTATATCTTACTAGTTTAGGGTCCGATTCCCTGTAGTAACTGCGGTTAGAGCAGTTCTTAGAAACAAGATCACAGTTCTGTTTAACACATTTTATGTACGTTTCTTCCCTCCTCCCTCACTACTAGCATTTAATTGAAAATGGCAGGGAGGGATCTTTGAAAAATCTATTAGTTTCCATGTGTAATATAATTAGGTATCTTTAAAAAATCTATTAGTTTCCATGTGTAATATAATTTAATATGGCATCACCACTTAATAAGAAAACATTTATGATGTCACAGAGTTCTCACTTCTAGTAATTTAAATGGGAGTTGAAGGCATTGAGCCTCTTGCAAGGTTGAGACCAATGCATACCATAGAAAAAGATTGATCACAGCATTGTGGGGAAAGAAATAATGGATTGCTTACCTGCCTTGGTTGAGTGTGTTTCAAGCCAAATCATCTGCCAGTAGTGGTGGATCAAGTACATATTGATAGTTCATATTTATAAGGCAAAGAAGAGAAGATTTTATCCTTTCATGATTTCCTGCAGGAAGTAAACTGGATTGCTCTGCTGCACCACACTGGACTTAACTTGTTTATCTGCCCACTGTGAGCATTTAAAAGTGCTATTTTTATTTAGTAAAACATAATGTTCCATTGCAGCTTTTGATGGAGACATCTGGAGACTGTAGCAGCCCATATGTCAGAGTGACTCCTGGGTTCCTAGCACATCTGCAAGAGTTGGAGCCCCGGGTGGTAAGAAGACGCTTATCTCAGGCACGACACCGGGCAACACTGGCGGGACTCTTTAACAGTCTGCGGGAAACTGTTTATTCTCAGTCAGACAATTTGGCATCAAAGGTACAGAAAACGTATTTGTTTGTGTGCACTTATATACATACAGGCGCACACCCATATATATGCTTTACATGTGTATATGTTTGTAGGGAAGATTCATAGCTCTGACCACAGTATTTTTGGGACCACATGGCATTTTATCACAGGAGACTTCCTTGAGCCTTCTCCTTATATGCACATCACTTCAGAGCAGGCTAACTGGGGATCTTCTAATGCCAGTGTCAGTAGTTTATCATGTGACTTTTTGCCTGTAAATTTTTTGATTCTTCATAATGGCAGTATTTTCAAAGCTAATCAGGGAATCCCATGATTGAACTGCTTTGACAATGCAGCACTTCAGTACAAAATCAGAACTACTGGGTTATGGTCAGAAACAGTTGTAGGGGAAAGGCAGTTCATTAAGCCTTGCAAATTGGCTTATATCCTGAAGAAAATCAGGAAAGTTAGATAAAATAAAACATTTGAACAACATTTACTTTATAAAAAAAGGAAATTTGACACTAAAATGGTACAAAAGAGGAAGGATTTTGTTGTGGTCAAGACAGGAAGAGGCCTTGGAAGACATGGTTCTATTCCTGACTCTGCCTATGATTCATTTTGCCAAATTACTTGTCACATGTGCTTCTGCTTTCCTGTTCGTAAAATGGAGAGAGTAAAACTTGCTCCAAAGGGGCATCATCTTTGTAAAATGCTTTGAGATCCTTGGAGGGAAGTGCCCAAAAAGTGCAAAGTTTGGCCTGTTTTAACTACAGTATAATGTGGCTTGAGATGGTGCTCTTGTTACATTTTGAGGTACAACTAAAGCTAAAATCATCACTGTCTCAGGAACTAAAAGCCAGCAAATCTAACAAGGCTACCATTCATTTACTATTGTATTTGGAGGGGTATTTCTCTTTGGATGTCTTGTAAGTCTCATAGATTTTTCCTCATCTTGGAATGACTACTTTGATATCTTAATACCCCCACTGCAATTTTTATATGCAATGGAAAGCAGGATTTCTTCAAAAGCCAACACAGAAGTTCTTTCCCAATCCTTCTCTCTTAGTGTCTGGCTTATGATTATGTAAAACCTCAGGTTTACCATATTTTATCATATATAGTACGCACCTTGATTTTGAAGAGTGAGTAGCAATGGATAAGGAGCCAAGACTGCTCACAGGCCAGCTGCCAGCTCCCAATATTGGATGGGATCTGCAGACCTACTTAGTGTACTAGGTCCAGAGCCACATGCCAGATCAGACCTGGGTCCAGAGCTACCTGCTGGCTCCAGAATCAGGTCCCAGGTCCAACCCAGCATGCTGGTTCCCAGGGCTTGCTGAGTCTGGAACCATGCACTGGCTCTGAAGCCATGGTGCCGGGTCCAATCCAGTATGCAGCCCAAAGCTAGCACATGATCCTAGACCTGGTCTGATCATACAGTCCCGGAGCCAGCACAGTTGGGGAGGGGGGGCTCTTGACAGGTCCAGAAATTTGGCAGCAGTGTAGGGAGCCATGGCAGCACTAATTGTCATAGCAACCAAAGCCACTCTTCCTGCCAAATTTACAGAACAGTGAGGACCTCCTTTCCTCACACCAAGTAACCCAATTTTCCCCAGCTGGTTTGGGGGGAAAGCTTTGGGTTATATGTGAAAAAACATGGTATATGTTTAATCTATCTTTAAAAAAGATAGATAATTATGACTGTTCTCTGTAATCATGTAAATGTCTAATTCATTCTTGAATCCAGTGTTGATTTTAGTCCCTGTAACCAAATTCATAGTACTGTAAACCTGGAATAATTGTATTGTTGGCAGTGAGGTTACTGCAGTTCGGTATCAGTATAACTGAGAGAAGGGTTTGGCCAAAGAGATCTTGTCTTATAATTCCTACCTGATATGATTAAAGGGTTGTTTATGTCTGTAGCCAGAAAACATCCTGCAAAATTTTAGCCACATGCTTTTTAGACATCCCACAATGAATGTTAAGTTCAAGCAGAAGGAACAGTTGCTGGCCAGAGAGACGGTCAGAGTAAACCTCAAACCTGTATGAGAATACATATTACATGTGAATGAAAATTTTTATGTTTACTCTGATTCTTGGGTTTTTCCCCTTTTTTATCTGCATCAGAGTAGCTGGCCACAGAATTGGCTTTAAAGGGTTTTGGAGATAGTTGGTAATCCTTCCTTCTCATGTCCTTGTGACAAGGTATTTAGCAGAATTCACAGCATGGTCGTATCGTGAGTGCTTCTTCTCTGACCTCAAACTTGCGGTGTCTGGGTTGTCAGCTGTGTACCTTAGTGCCTCCACCCACACCACCCCAGTCTCCATAGTTGGTAATAAAAAAAGAAAAGGTATAAAAACCAACTAAGTGTTAAAATGTGAATCCAGTCAGAATAGAGGAAGATTGGGTCTGTTTTCTTTTTTTATGTTTAGTGTCAGGTTTTGCGTAAGGCTAAGAATTATATCCAGGAGCTGGAGCAAACCTTGGGTACTTTGCTGAAGATGAAAGGTACTGTATGCCAATATTTGCCTGAAACAGCTTCTGTAAACCTGCTTGTCATTTATTTGTTAAATAGGGACAAATAGCAAGATGCAGCAAAGTGCCTGAGCTAGTATTAAGAACTGGGCCTAGATTTGCCTTTTCCACCCTCAGAAGAAATCTGCCTCTCATTCCGCCCCGCCCCCCCGACTCAGTTCCTACCTGGGTTCTCCCTTGACTGAGCCTGTGTGAGAGGCCCTTATCAACAACAAAAATATCTCCCCTTCCACCCCAGGCCCCATTCTCATTCATCTGATCAATGTATTGGCAGGGCTAGTCCTAGTCTTCACCCATGTATTCCAAGGGCCAGTAGAGGTATATGGCACATGATTCAGAAATAAAGTTGGGTTCCAGGTTGGAGTGAAGGACTGAAAATAGAGCGAAAAGATTTCCTCACAGAAATGTAGGGCATGAAAACTTTACTTAAAATTTTTCTCCAAGGGAGACAATAAGACATGCTGTATTTTTTTTCTTTTGACCTGGTATGTCTTCCCAGACACTCATCCATTAGGCAGTCTCAACACTCTGAGACATAACTGCTTTTTTCAGGATGAGGATGGCAGGGTGAAATTCTTTGAGTACCTGTTACAATCTTCAATCAACTAGCTCAATTTCTGTTGAGTTCTATGAAGTTTCTGGGCATACACAGCTGCCCCAGCAGTGTTATCAGCCATCTGTCCCCACCTCTCTAAGAATCTAGAGACCAGAATTAAACATTAAATGGTCATTCCTTTGGGTGGCAGTGACTTGACTTGCATGCTGATGATTTAAAGCCATTCCATCCATTTTCATTAAGTTAAACAGGGTCAAAACTCCCTTTAGTTGTTCAACTATTACTACTTGAAAGAAAGAAAAATCACAGAATGTTGCATTAACTAGTAGTTGCATGGGCATGAGTTCACTGGTTCTTACCACTGATTAGCAACATTATCAGTTCATGCACCAGTTCAGCATTATAAGGTACCAGTAATTCTAAATTAGCATTATAAGGTACCAGTAATTCTAAATTAGCCACATTATCTTGGCTAGGGATCATAAGCTCCCCACACAACAGATGTTTCTCCCAGTATTATTTTTATAGTATCAAGAACTCCCTGACATTCAGGTCAAATTGCCATCATTACCGTGTTTGATTGGGACCAAGAGTGAGAGAGCTGCTGAACACTCCACTCTGTGACAGTTATCTTTCTGCTGACAACAGAGTCCTTCAGTCTGGAGGATGGGAACCCATCCAGCTTGGAGGAAGTCAAGGAGGAATATATCAAGATGTACTTCAACCATCACAGGTAAGGACTTGCACAAATCAAGAAATGATGTTGATATTTTGTACTTGCTTCCATCCATGTATCTCAAAGCACATTGCAAACATTACCAAATACAGCATCTCTGTCCCTGTGAGGAATACCAAAAATATACAGAGATGAGGAGGTTTCAGCTGCCAAAAAAAACTACAGATTGGACCCTTATATTCAAGTACATGAAATTCCATGCACATTTTTGGTTTTATTCCCAGTTAGTGCTTATGGTTGCCTTTCTTTTTCTTCTTCATAGTGCTTCTTTGCAAGGGGTTTCCATTAGCCCTGCAAAGGAAAAAGTACCTACTCAGAAAGAAAGAGTGACCACAGTAAGGACCATTTTAACCTGGTTGAGGAAGCTATTTAGTTGGCTTCTCCCTATCTTTTCTTTCCAGCTCAGCATCACCCTCTGACACTACAAGTGAAAGTGGTTCCACCATGTGGTATTTGATTCAAGAATATGAAAAAAAAGATGTGGAAGGGGATGGGAGATCCGGACTTACGCAGTCCCCAACCACTTCATCTCCTGACCTGATGGAATTTGAACGGTATGTGTGTCTTTATTTGAGACAACATTCAATTCCTTACTAGCACTGTGACTCTGAACCCCAGTAGGCCCTGCACAAGTTATGGTCAGTCCTCCTCAGCCATATGGCAGCTCCGTAGGCACTGACAGAAATGATGTCTTGTCATACAACTAGCCACCTAAAAGTGCTTTACAGCTGTGCCCTGACAGAAGTGCCTGGCTGCAGAGTGCTTTAAAAGTGTCCCATTAAGTGCGGAGTGCCTTCATTAACTTCTGTCAGTGCACACCAGGAGCATGGCTGGGCTAATGCAGCCCATCCCCAATGTTGTCTTCAGGATTTGGGGGGCGGGGGGAGGAGAGGGAGCTAGGTCTGGGGTTGATACAGCTTTTGGGAAGAGGGGGTGTGGACTGAGAGGGCTCTAGACCGAGCTCCCTTCCCTTCTCCCATCCTGAAGACAGCACCAGAGCCTGTGGGGTGGGGGGCAGCACTAGTGGGGAGAGGCTGCAGACATGCAGCTAGCTTCAGAGTGGCACTTGATTTCCCCACTAGGAACCAACAGAGAATGTCTTTTGGGTCAGGGGGGAGGGGAGGGGGAGGGAGTTGTATGGCTGTAACTCACGGTGCTTCCTGTGAAGTGCCATGAGTTACAACAAGGAGGTGCACATCTGTCAGTGCCCCCTGTCACACAAGTCATGAGGATCCTTCAGCTGCATGAAAGAGGTATAACATTCTTTCAAGTCTATTAGTGCTGTAGAGCAGGAGTCAGCAACATGTTGTCCATGGGTCAAATCCATCCTATAGTACCTCTGGATCTGGCCCATGGAACCAGCGGGGCTTTGGTGGCATTTCAGCATCAGAGAGCTTTGCCCATGCTGGGGCCAGACAGCAAGGAGCAGCTGGGGTACACCCATGCCTAGGGTACAGGGAGAAATGGCAATTCTAGGTCAGAGCAGCAGACCATCTCATACCTAAGCTGGGTTGTTCCAGCCTGCGGCTCCGAAACATTGCCAGCTACTTCTCTGGAGTGACTGATGAGCGGCCGCTGGTGTGTGTCGAAATGGTCTTTACGTTGCAGTATGACCTACTTAATGACAGAAACAGCAGCTTTAAAAGGAGTAGCTACTGGCAGATTCAGGATCAGGGTGTGTTTATGTACCCAGCATAATCTATCCGGATACATGCTCCTGAGTGACTTCTTATCTCTGTGCCCAACTTCTGTTAATACCATTATGGTATTTATTATACATTTTCCCCAAAAGGAGAATATCTTAGGAACATAAAAAATTACCATGCTAGATCAGGCACAAGGTCCGCTGAGTCCAGTACCTTTCTCCAACAGCAATTAGCACTAGATGCTTCAGAGGAAGATATTGAAACATTACAGGTCAGATTATCTCATATTTGTGGCTCCTCTCTTCAACAGTACGAGTTTGGCCAAAGCTGTGAAGCATGAGGGTCAGCATCGCTTTCAAAAATTGTTTTTGTTATCTGGTTAAATGCTCTGTTCTCTTTTAAACTTCCGCAGCCTGCTTTTCTCGGCCACACTGTACAGGATGTTTTCTAAGATTTCCTTTTGTTGTTGATACGGTTTTTGTAAAACCAAGCATGGAGTTGTGCCAGCAGGTGGCAGAGGCCTGCAACATTTATGCTATTATCCTTTACTCCTGTGAAAATCAGACAGAAGGTAATTTGTAGGCAAGAAACATTTACAGAACCTCAGAATATGCTGCATAAGTACTTCTGGAGGGAGTAAGCCACGCTTCACCTCACACTACAACATAGTGTGATAAGTGACTAGTGGTTTGCTCTCTCCCATCCTTACTGATGCACGCAAAGCAAGATGAACAGTAGTGTGGGGACTTGCAGTGTTTTCTTGGCAGCTTCATGGCAGACTGCAGTTGCTGCACATTAACTCCCTTTCACAAGTTGGTCTCCTTTCTTTCTGACACAGCACAGTAGTGACCTAACCAATAAGAACAAACTCATTCCTTTGGTGACGTGACAGTGCACCCACTATCTCCAACCAGCACTACAAATGCATCTCTTTTGAAAAGACTTTGTTCCTGTCACTTAGATGGACTGTCAGAAGCTGCAGCAGCAGAAACACAGAATACTGTCCCTTGTAAAATGCTGCCAGCTTTTACCAGCCCATAAAGACATCAGTGGTTAACCATTCACACTTAGACTTTTAACACAGCAGCCTGATACTAGTTTATCCTTTCAGATAAGGATGGCACCAGCTATTCATTACAGTTATCAATGAAACTGAGACCTAATTTGGTGGGCAGTGCACAAAACTATAGTAATTGTCCTTTGTGAAACCCCCCCAGCAGCTACTTGCGAGTGTTTCAGACCAAATAGTAATTAGTAATTGAACCTGTATAGGTGGTAGATCTATTAGACAAGCTTTCAGGAATTTGCCCTTCCTCAGATCTGAGGTGGGGGGGGGAAACAGATGCAGCCTAAACTAAATCGTAGATAAAGTAATGACTTCTGTTTAACTCAGGGGTAGGCAAAATGCAGCCCGGGGGCTGGATGCGGCCTGCCAGGCCATTCTATCCGGCCCGAGGGGCCCCTAAAAAATTTAGAAAATTTAATATTAATCTGCCCTGGACTGCCTGTCATGCGGCACTCGATGGCTTGCTGAAACTCAGTAAGCGGCCTGCTGCCCAAAATAACTGCCCACCCCTGGTTTAACTCCTTTATGCAAATAAGAAGTCACTTACAGAAGTGGAAGAAGGCTGTAAAACTGGAGTAAAGAGTTCCTGGAAGTAGCTACAAAACAAATAAAGGGGAGTTGAAGTAGATAACCTAATTACATAAAAGAATAAGCTCATTCTAGAGGAAAAGGGTCATTGTTACCTGTGCAGTACAGAGAGCTTAGTGGAAGCAGCAGGAAATGGTAAAGCGCCATAAGGCTGTTGTCTGCGTTTAGTCCATGGTTTTTACTATTAAGTAAACGTGTTAATTTTTGTTCCCAGGCCCATCTTCTGACGGTGTTCTCTAGCTTTCCCTTAAATACAAGGACGGCAAGGTCAGAAATGGAGTGGTTGTTCTGTGAAAAGTGTTATTCTGCTGGAGATAGGGTATTTCTGTCCTTTATCATTTTTCTGTGAGATTTCATTCTGGAGTACAGTCATTGTTTAATTTCATCTACACAGTTTCCCTGAGGGTATTTGGTGCATTGGATGAGATGTCAATCATAGAATGTGGTATATGTGTAGGATCGTCAGAGTTTGCTTGTTTTCCTTGCGCGAGCGTGTTGATTGTAGTGTTGGTGGATATTTGCTGATAGGTTTTTGCATTTGCTATTTAGGCAGGGTTCTGTTCTTAGTCATCAGAGTTTGCTTCTGAAGACAAGTTGGGCGAGGCTTGGAGGACGTTGGGAAGCAAGGAGCAGGAGGGCTGAGAATATTTCTTTCACGTCCCAGTCTTCTTTATCTATAGGCTGTTTGATGATCCTTGTTGTAGGTTCCACTGCAGGACAGCATGTGACAGGCATGGGTGCATAGTTGTTGTATCTGTGGTGTAGGGGTTCTTTTATATTGTAGTGGGTTTGTGCAGGATATATGGGCGGCTTGTTCAAAAATGTCTGTTTTTCTACTGGAGTTTTTTTGCATTTGCAGGCTAACGTCAATTTTCAGACTGGTGAAGTGGGTGTCATGAGTCTTTTCCTCCGTACAGATGTGGTGACATGTGAGGGCCTCACTATACTTTAGAGCTTGCTTGGTGTGTATGGGATGATTCCTGGTTCTACAGAAGTAAGTGTAGCGGTCTGTGGGGTTTTTTGTGCATATTAGTGTGATGGATGCCATTCTGGATGTCATTGTATCTGGAAAGTTGACGTTAGAGTCAGAGTATTCCATGTAAAATCCTATTGCAAAGCTTGAAGGGACCTGGAAACAGAAATGCCTCTCATCTTGAGAATGATACCTCTTGGTCTGGTGACAGCAAATCTGTTTGGGAGAATCCCAGTCTTCTTGTCCTGCTTTCTCTGTTCAGTCTTCAGGCCTGACAATTTGGGATTGTTCAGGAACTTAAGTTATATGAAAATACTGTAAAATGATAAAGCCACCTCAGTTCTTGCTAACTGAACAGTGGAGCAACCTTGTAATAGAGAAGTTGAAGATTAAATACTAATGATCTTGGAAGGGAGGAGCTTTATTTATTTATATTTACAAATCTTGGCTCATTACAATAATCATTTTCTAAAAGATTAAACAACTTTCAGTTGTTTTCACCTGCAGTATGCTTCAGTCAGTCAGAAGACCTGCTTAATTCGGATATCTTCCAAGGAATCATTTTGAGCTCAGTAGAATGACTGCCACTTTTTTGGAAACAGAACATCTGTTTCATGTTGCTTTGAACTTTGGCTTTTCATTTGGGAAGGCCTAAGATTTAACAGCCCAAATACAAATATAGCTTTGTTCAGAGGTAGCTATTATTATGCCAATGGCAAAACAGGTTTCAAAAGAGAAATGAGGGTTTGGTGGTTTATTCATTGGATTAAAACATGGGAGCTCTAGCTTGAATTCCCAGCTTTACTACATATTTTCTGTGGGACTTTGTGAAATACCTGTCCTTCTGCCACAGATTCCTGTAAAATGGAGAAAATAATACACCTACACACTTTGTCTTGTAACCTAAATAGTTACATATGCATAATGATACTGTGTTAAGTTCTATCACTCGCTATTTTTTCCCTTAGGCCCCCCCCCACCCCTTGCTTCATTCAATACACAGGCTGGATTGTGCTCACTTAGCGAGCAGCTAATCATAGATTTCATAAACGTTAAAGCTGGAAGGGACCTCAGAAGATCATCGAGTCCAGCCCACTGCCCATGGGGCAGGAAGTCAGCTGGGGTCATAGGATCCCAGCAAGATAAACATCCAAATTTCTCTTGAAAGCGTTCAAAGTAGGTACTTGAACCACCTCCGATGGCAGGCTATTCCAGACCTTGGGGGCTCGGACAGTGAAGAAGTTCTTCCTTATGTCCAGCCTGAAACGGTCTTGGAGGAGTTTATAACCATTTGACCTTGTTTTCCCTTGGGGTGCTCTGGTGACCAAATGTTCCCCCAGATGCTGGTGAACACCCCTTATAAACTTATAGGTGGTCGTCAGATCGCCACTGAGCCTGCGCTTTTCCAGGCTGAAGTCCCATAGCTCTCAACCTCTCGTCATAAGGTCTGTTTTCCTGACCTCTTATCATGCATGCGGCTCTCTGCACTCTCTCAAGCTTCTCCACATCCTTTTTGAATTGTGGAGCCCAAAACTGGATGCAGTACTCCAGCTACGGCCTCACCAAGGCCAAGTACAAGGGGAGAATGATGTCCTGGGATTTGCTTGAGAAGCATCTATGGATGCAAGCCAGCGTTTTGCTCGCTTTACTAGCAGCAGCATCACATTGAAGGCCTATGTTCATCTTGTGGTCAATCATGATCCCCAAGTCCCTTTCATCTGTAGTGCTAGCCAGCATAGCACTGCCAAGCCTATAAGAGTGCTGCAGGTTTTTCTTCCCAAGGTGGAGAACCTTGCATTTTTTGGTGTTAAACACCATCAGGTTCTCACATCCACTCGTTTCCTGAGCCTGTCAAGGTCAGACTGGATCGCCTTCCTGTCCTCAGGTGTGGATGCTTTACCCCAAAGTTTGGTATCATCAGTGATGATCACTTGATTGTTTTTTCCTTATTCTTAAGTGTTCTGCCCCAGTCCTTATTTATTGCAGTCTCTGCTCCAGAAACAGCAGGTTGTTCACAGCTCTACTACAGGGGTGGATATCTACAGCATGTATGTCACAAGTTGCATGGGCAGTCTCTGTGGGCTCCTATAGACATGCAGCGAGGCTGCTCCATTGTGCTGGAAATCCAGTGCATCGGAGCAGACCCAATTAATCAAGTCTGCTGGAGCACAGACATTAATGTGCTCCAGCAGCTTCCTGTGTCACGTGTATCAGCATTCCCATACTGAAAAATGGCAGCACAGCGCTTTAATCTAAAGCTCATTCGCTGAGTTTTATTTCAAAGCACCCTGCCACCATTTTTCAGTGTGGGGACACTGATACAAGTGATGCTTGAGTGCTTTTAATTAGCACAGCTTGCTAATTAAAGCACCTCCCACCTCCTGGAGCATGCCTATAAAACACCGTGTGTGTGGCATGTAGCAGATCAGGAAGAGAGCAGAGATCACAGCAGCAGATATGGCAGGGAGCAGAAAGCACAGCAGTCTTGGGAAGATAAATGGGATTGGGGTGACATTTGGGGAGAGTGCAGGGATTAATTTGTGGCCCACCTGCCAGAAAGTTTGGCCCCCACTGTCCTAGTATGTGCAAGTACTTCACAAACGTTAATGATTTTATTTCCAAAACACTCCTGTTGGGGTTGTGGATGTTGGACTAGTGTCCCCATTTTAAAGATGGGCAACTGAGCAACAGTGGCATTAAAACTCAAGCTTTCCACTTATTTTGGGTGTCCAGTTTGAGACACCCAGGACCTGATTTTTCAGACTCCTTAGCATTGCCTAGCATTTTATGTATTGAGAACACAGCTCCCTTAGATGTCACTTGCAACATGGAATGCTCAGCACTTTCACATCTCAGACCCCAGGATATCAAATGGGGCATCCAGAAAATAAGAAAAATATAATTACTGACCAGGTGCAAGAAGTCTGGTGTAAGTGATTTGACAAATCCAACACAGCAATTGCATGGCAGAGACACAAAAAGAATCAGGTTCTCCTGGGCAACATTCAATGGCCTTAACAAGGAGCTGTAGTGTAAGTAGAGGTGGGTGAGCAGGGCATCAGCCCTGTATGCTGGGAGTCTGCACTGTGGTATCAGCAGTGTATGCGCACAGATCCCTATTCTCTGGCACTTGGTACCCCCTCACCTACTCCCCTTTCCCCCTCCATGGCCAAGGCACCAAAATTGCTAGTTAAGCCTCTGACAAGGAGACCTTCCCTTATCTCTTCCAGAAATTCCCTGCCTTGTTCACTACATACCTTCCAGTTTCCACAGGGGAGTGTCTGGTGGGTACAAATCATCCAACTTCTGCATCAAAGAAACAAGGGTCCTTAAACAAATCTACTTCCCCGCATTGCTGATTCATTCTGAGCACAGAGGTTCTGTGGAAAATAATAATCTGTGAGCATATAATTAAAGGCTGCATTGTAATGCACATACACGAAGGGCTTGCATTACAGTTGTGGTCAGCCTTAATTCCAGCATTTCCCAACTGTAAAGTGATGGACTTTGAAGCCTTAATAATGTCCTTTCAGTGGTGTTTGCTGTGTGTAATTTGCTGAGTTTTTTTTTTTTTTTAAATCAGGAAATGGAAAAACAAATCCCATTAGATTGGCTTCATAGTGACACTGTGTGGATCATCACTACAGCTTGGAAGAAAGTGTGCTGTCAAGGGCGCACACTTCCTGTTCATTTTCCAAAGCTTTACCCTTGCTCCATGTCACCATCAGACCTCTCAGGCTCCATTTATTAGGCTCATCCCATTCTTCATTTAATTTCCAAGTAAATCCTAGTTTCACTCCCACACTGCCGTTCCCAGTCTCCTTGCCCTGCTCTCTCTGTTCAGCTAGTGCTGGTTCTCTCCTGTTCTCTGGCTTCTCATCAGATTTGTTCTTTCCTTCATCACTTTTTTTCCCCAGCCCACTAGTATTTGGTCCCAGTCTTCTTACTCAGCCAACCCCATGTTTGTCTTTCTACCAGCTTAGTCTCTCTCTCCTGTTACCCTCTCCAGATCCCAGCAGAGCCTACAGAAGCCCAAAGTTTCAGTTGCAGGGAGAATTCTGTGTATACCCAGACAGGAGTATATTGGGTGTGGATAAAATCGGTGGTGTATTTAGCTGCTAAAGTCTAAGAAGTCTCTACTGAGCATGTATGAAGTGTGATTTTTTCAAAAACATGGCCAGATTTGGCTGTTTTCCCACAGAAATGGCAAAAGGCACATCCAATTCACTACATTTCAAGTAACCACTCCAAAGAGAGGGGCATTAGAGATTCCTAAAGAAAGGAGTTACAGTTGAACATAGGTACAATAACATGCGGGGGGCGGGGGGTGTCCCCCATAACCATGTTCTCAGAAACAGCTGAACCTTTTGAGTTAATTAAAATGCTAAAAAACAAATACATTTAAAAATAAATAAAATTAAAGCCTATGTGTTTCAACCTCAGGCAGACTCCCAGCATAGGAAATTTCATTCCAAAAGGTTACAGCTTGGTAGACTTTTAAGCAATTGGAAACAGGGGCTTACAATGGGGAGTATAGAGCAGCTTTAATGGTGGGCAGTGCCAACCATCCCATCTGTAATAATAATTGTACAAGGTCCCTGAGGGAGTCAGTGGCATTGTTGAGATTATAAACTAAAACTTAGTTCCCAGTCCCTTGCTGCTGTAACATTGCACCGCTGCATCACAAGCTGCCTTTTAGAGATCCCTCCTTTCATTTATTGCAGGTACCTGTATTTCTATAAACAGACAGTGGACCTGCTGGTTGAGAATGGGATTGTGTGCACTGAAGAGGTCACTCTCCCTGTGGTCTCAACAGCTATTTCCCACCTATGGCAGGAACTTACGGAAGAAAGGAGAGAAAGCGTGTTGCAGTACTGTAGTCAGAGACAGAATGTCCTCCCAAATGCCAGGGCTCAGTGTTCTGAGCCTGTGTGCAGTGAAGGCAGTGTGAGGGACAGCACAGCTAACAGTCAGGAAGCCAGTGGTTCATCAGTATCCACGCCAGAGGAAGTAAGTAGCACTTAATAACAGAGACTTCTCACTTCAGGAGCCACAGGCCTAGAGAAAGCTGATATCTTTTGTCAACTGTGAATCTGTTCCAGAGGATGCACATTATTATAAGAAACTATTTCCCACCCATCGGAATACAGCACTGCAGTAAACTTTTACAGTGAATTCTCTCACTCTGCAGTAGATCCATAACATTGTGGTTGCCAGTTGCTTTGTCTTGCTAGGCTGTCTCAGCACATGCAGGTGAGAGCACCGGTGTTGATCTGCAGTGCAGTGAGGAACCGGCCTGTAGGAAACATTTAGCTTTGCTCTAACACAGGCAGGGTAAGGCAAGGAAGGCATGCAAGTACCATTATACAGATCCTGCAGGAAGCACAGCTTAGCTTGACTCAAGGATCAGTGTTCAGATGGCTATGGCTGTTTTCTAACAGCACATTTAAAAGTGAGAAATACAAGGGACAATTGCTGTAGGCCCTTCCTCAGTTTTAGTGATATTCAGAAGTTCTGCTGATACTGCCAGCTGCATGCATGCCAACATACCTCAGCAGAGGTGGGCAGTCAGGACATTTATACACATACCTTTTAGTTCACAGATGCACCAGAGATCTGCCGCTTTGGAGCAGACTGGATTAATCGAGTCTGCTCTGCATGGGAGCTGATGCACACTGCGCTGCATTGCTTGCATTTGTATAAGTGGTGAAATGTGCATCAGCGCAGAGAAAATGGCGGCAGTACGATTTTGAACTAAAGCACCTCCGAGGTGTTTTAGTTCAAAAGTGCACCGTCGCCATTTTCTTATTGCTGATGTGCATTTCACCGCTTATACAACTGCAAGCGTCACAGTGCCAGGCGCTTGCACATGTAAAAATGCTCACAGTAACTAGGTAGCATCAGAAATCTGTTAGTTAAAGCAGGCGTTCCCAACCCCTGGGCAATGGCCCAGTACCGGGCCATGAAGGGTTGGCTGCTGGTCCACAGGAGGGTTGGCTGCCAGACCAGAAGATGGTAAGTGACCGGCATACTGTAGGCCAGCAGCCAACCCTTTTTTATACCAAGTATAAAAAAAGGGTTGGCTGCCAGCCTGCAGTATGCCGGTCACTGCTGGTCTGCAGTTTGCTAACCTGCAGCCACTTTCAGGCTGTGGTTTGCCAGTCCGCAGTCACTTCTGATCCGCGGTTTTGCAGTCCGCAGCATAGAAATGTTGGGAACCCCTGGGTTAAAGGAAAGATAATTCATTGTAAGCATTTGCTGAATTGTCAGTGAGTTGAACAATTAGCCACTCAGAGCAAGATTGGGTAACTTCATTGGGTGTTTTTATTCCCCTCTAACGCATCCATAGATTGCAGTGACAAGGGTCACATGTTTCCTTTTAAGTTGCAAGGAAATTAAACCTGTCTAATTTCTAACCGGTCTACTTACAGACTTGTGTTGGAGCATGACATGTATATTAGCTTCTGGCACTAGGAGTAACAGGAACTAATTAGACTAATGACCTTATGCAACTGGAATGTAGAACACCAGATCTCCGTTGCAACTGGAACTCCAGCCTGAATAGCAGTGTGTGGGACTGCTTGGTACAGCCAAGATCCTTGGCTGGATATGTCAATAACAGCTAACTGAAAAGTCTGGGAAAGCCATGAATAATCACTGCCTTGCACTGATGCTTTTGAAGGTGGTTGGCTAAAATCAACTTCTCAGAAACTGAAAAGACAGTCCTGATGGAACTGAGCCCAAGCTCCTGTTCTAGCTGTGTAGTAAGGACCATGACTTATGTTTTTCAGAGGCAGAAATAATTATGGATCCAAGCTAGCTATAAACATACCTGGCAAAGAGGGAAGAAAGAATTCCCACATTTTAAATACTTAATTATCAAAAATTATAGATTGAGTAACACTGTAAAATGCCTAATAGATTTAACATCTCAAATGTTTTCTTTTCTAGGTACTATTTGAAGATGCATTTGATGTTGCTGCTGGGTTTCTTGACAGAAATGAGACGCAGACAACGTCCAATCTAGGGTAAGTATAAACAAACCCAGTCTACTATCCAGCACTTAATTTTTTTGATGTTAAAGCAACATCCGTATTTGTGTCCTAATTCAGAACCTCTTTTAAAGACTACAGTCTGCCACAGCTTGTGGCCTTGTCACATGTTTATTGGCAACAGTTGCAAACTATTGAAATATATTGCTAGTATGTGTTAGAAGATGCCCTCACCTAACCATCCATCTTGTCCACTGCCCTACATCACACAGTGGCAAAGCACAGATGCCAAAAGGTAGAGTGAACAGGATATGATGAGGGTTTTTCTCCTGCTCCTCTCCTGGTTGCAGCCTCCAGCATTTAAGGTCTAAGATATTCTTATTCAGTGGCTGGTCTTGGCTGGGATTTTCTGTTCTTGCATGTTGCTTTTTCAATAAATAAATTCTCTAAAAATTTAAAGGATCCTTTGAACACACCAGCTCTGATTCTGTCTTATACCACCACTCAATGTTACACTGCCAAAGCAGTGTGAATGAAAACAAGAGGATTTAGATCATTAACTCAATTGTATAATAATGTTTAATTAAAAGAAAACCATCAATTGTGGCTTGACTGATACACATTGAAGATTAGGGGAACATTCCACGGTGCAGTATGTTATGGCCCTAGTTCAGTGGTTCTCAGCCTGGATGCCACAGTACCCTGGAAAGCCATGAGACTTTCAAGGGAGCCACACTGCTGCCACTGCTAGCTGAAACCCCTTTTTTTCCAGCAGGAGGGGCACACAGGGCCAGACAGGGCAGCAGCAGCAGGAGTGGGCACTCCTGCCTGCATTAGGTTTTGTTCCTTTCCCTTTCCTGCTCCACTCTGCTCCCTTATTGACTGGTAGTTTGTAACACAGGCAGCAGGACACAGAGGGACTCTGGGTGAAGGGTATAACCACATTCAGCTTCTGTAAAACTCACATTTTCTATTTACAAACTGAAGACAATGCGGGAGGAGAGCAGAGCAAAGAAGGGAGAAGAGCAAAGCCTAATACAGATTGCTCCGCAGCAAGAGCACTCGCTCTTGCCGCAGCATGTCCCCACCCAGCCCTGTTTGTCCCTCCTGGAAAGAGGCACATGGTTTTCACCAAGGTGTCATCAAATTCACTAAAGTTATGGAGAGATGCCTTGAGTTTAAAACCTGGCAGGGGAGACACCATGATCTAGAAGGTGATTTTCCAGACTAATATGATATAGAGTTTGTACTAGCTTACCTGGCAGGGAAAACACCATGTATCTGTGTCCATGAAGATAGTTTTCCTTAAGCTTTTCCAGAGATAACTGTTCTTCTGGCATGGTTTAGTACCTGCCGAGGTGTTGGGGCTTAAAGCCTACTTTATGGAAATGGGAGGCTCCTTCCTAGCTTGCTTCTGCAGCCATATGGCTGAGGGCAGGCGAAACTTGGGGGCATGCGAACCCCAAGCCTCCAGGCTTGGGCCTGCACATGGAATTCCTGCCAAAAGACTTTGGAAATATCTGAAGCCCCTAGTGGCGGGTGGGGAATGTTGCCGGTTGTAGGGCCACTTATGGTTCTGGACTGACTCATGGATTTGGACTTGATTTGGCTTGGAACACGAAAAATTTCTTTAAAAAAAATTTTTTTTAAGTTTGAGAACCACTGCCCTAGTCTTTAATATTTGAACACTCAAGTTCAAAACCAGGTTTAAGCCAGAAGTCAAACTGTATTTCAATGCAGAGTTGATACAAGTCCATTCCCTTCACCCAGATCAGAATTTAGGACAGTTGGGTCTTTATTGTCTCTTTATTTAAAATTAAGGGACAACAGCAGAACTTTATGGGAATTCAGGAAAAATTGTGGACATGGCTTCCAGGCTCAAGGGGTATTTGCAGAGCCTTTGATGGAAGTCAGTCTCCACATGCCCACGTAGTGACTACTGACATTCTGAGGCATTTTCTTGGCCACATAAAGTGGTTTCATTTAATGTAAGAAATCAAAGGAGTTCATATGAATAAGGGCAACGAAGGCATCTAAACACCCCAGCTGCAAGACAACTGGATCCTTACTGGTATATGCTTTCTTTATACTTTCCCCTAGAGCAGTAGGATCAAATCTGTCACGTCTCTCTGAATTTCTTTGCTGTGATAATTGTTCCTTACATTATACTAATGTGTTCCTATCATTTGCTGAGTAATATATTCCTATTCTCCACTGTTCAGTGGTTTTCCTGAACTGTTTTTTGGGTTTTTTTGAGAGAGAGAGAGAGAGAAAGTGAGCAAGAAGAGGGAGGAGACAGGGCATTTAATATCATTTCTGTGTCTGTTTTCAGTTCAGCCTTCTCAGGCTGCACCTCAGAAAATCCAGAGGATATCCACCAACTCTACTTGCAGATCATTGGGTTCTTAAAAGGCCTTTTCTTTGTGAACACGCCATTTCCCCAGGTAAGACTCATCAATGTGCTCATTATGGAGGAAGCAGCATAGTCTTATGCATATCAAAGCAGTATTTCCAGTTAATGGACCTTTGCTCATATTTCACTGGGTCATCCCATCATGCAGTCTTAATCTGAAGAGATGGAAGCACGTTGGTGGGCTAGAATAGTTAATCACAATAGTAAGGGGTGAGTCAGTGAAGTCATGACAAGACAAAGAACGTGAGCTAGACTTGGAACAAGAATGAGAATGAAAAAACATTGCATAGCATAAATGTAAAGAAAGTTAAGGAATAATGTGCGAGAAGGCAGCTCTGAGGCACAATGTCGTCCAGCTGAAGGATTCCTCAAGTTTAACCCGAAACCTTGCGTGCACTTCTGCGCATGAATCCCAGGCAGTCTGATGAGAGATGGCCCAGGGGAGCTTGCTAGGATTCATAGAGCATGGGGCATTGATAAGCAAAATGCAAGGGCATGCATTTTAATTTAGGTTATTACAATAAACTACATCTAGGAAACGATACCGTGAACCAGAGTACAACTCATGAAAGGTTGTGGGGTTTTTTGGATTTGTTTGTGTTTTTGGGGGGAGGGGGGCAGTTTGGGAACAGAGATAGAGTCCCAATGAACAGCAGATGCTGAAAGTGTCTATACTGTAGGTAGAGCTGCCTGAGCTAGCTTTTAGCAAGTTCACTTAGGTAACCAGTGGCTAGCAAGCTATAGCATCATGCCCTGCAAAACCACCAGAGACAAATTAGCTTCCTGGATTCCATTTTGCCATGGCTAGATTGCCACATGTACCTGTACTAGCTAATTTAAAACTAACTCAGCCATATCTTAATTACATTGCAGTTACTGCTGTGTCAGTAGCATCTGTTCCTCCTCTGTAGCACAGCACCTCTTGCAAGTTCTCCACTAGCTGTGGTATGTAGTGACCAGCATTAGCAGTACAAATGGTAAAAAACATCCCAGGATGAGCAAGTGTCTTGCAGGTTCATGCATGCAACTTGAAGAAAATGCAACAAAGGTGGGGTGGGATTGCAGATGGCCCTGTAAAATCAAGGTTTATAGCCAAGCCAAACCCTACAACACAGCCCATCATTGCCTGTCCCTCTCTGCCTGTAGGATAAATGCAGGACTGATAAGATTTATCATTGGCCACTTATATTAACTAGTTCCATTTCCACTCCTCTCAGGAAACAACATTAAATTGTTTTGGGTGACGCACAATTAGAATTTTACAGTTACAGACACAGTAAGTGCAGCTGCTCTTGAGAAGTTGCTGGTCTGGATCTGAGATGTTGAAACATTGGTCTCCCCACTTTGGAAACTACTTGAAAGACCACAATGCAGAAAAAGAAAAAGCAGTGTTTAGACAAGGAAGGAGAATAATTTCAAAAGGACCCCAGCCTGAAACAGAAAGGGAAAATTGACGTTGCGTGATAGGAAAATATTTCCAAAAGTGAAGTCAGGAAGGTACTAAACCTGTCCAGAACTGCTGATGTCTCCAGGCCACACAGTAAAAGGTGCTCAACAGCAGATGAGTGAAACATTAATATAGATCCAGGGTAGAATTTTCAAAAGGATGAAAGTGAAAGCCAGCTGGAGATGGGCAAACCTGCGTAGATGCTTCTGTAAATGCCACTACGCAGCTATTTACACATTTTGGATGACTAAATATATTACAAAATCCAGCTTTAGGAGTCTAGAATCACTTTGAAAGTAAATGGGACTTAAGTAAATAGCTCATTTTTTAAAAGAGGACTTGGGCACATTTACATCTTCACTGACTGCCTGTCTTGCATGCATACCAGCCCAGCCTCTGGCTTCTTTACTATTCATTCCATCCAGGAAGAGCACACACCAACTGCAGAGGCTTCCTCAGCCTGACAAAGAGTTTTTTAACCTGAAAGCTTGCTAAAAAATGTTTTTCCAGCTATTTAAGTTGGTCTAATAAAAGATATCAGATTCACCCAAAGAACCTTGTCATATATTATTTACGCACTTTTAAAAGTTTTATCTGTGGTCTAAAGAAACTTGCATTGGGAGACTTAGCCAACTGTTTCATCCCTGAGCCTTTCAATTCCTGAGAGTTGCTCTGTGTCCCTAAGTCAGTCAAAGAGACAGACACTTATGGAAAGTAAGGCACAAACCTGCAACTTTGAAATCAGCAGGACTTGAGATCACACAGTAACTTGCAGGATATGCCTATACTGTGTCCCTAAGAAATTAACCTGCTCCCATGGTACATTAGTTACAGCTCTAAATGAGTTACATTAGAACATGACAGAATCCTATGTTCTTAGGAGTTGGTTAAAACAGGGAGCCCTTCTTCAGACAACCCTTGCCATTGTCCTCGACTGGTAAGTACCCAGGGTTTACAAAAAAGGAAAGGGTGCATCTGCTGAAGTTTGTGGGTACTGATCAACCAGAATTCGAATAAAAACACAGCCCATTTTGTTTTGCAGGGAGATTCTGTTCAGTTTGATTATGAGACCGTGATGCTGAGGTGCACAGAGACCTTTGATGATGAAGATTTGTAAATAAAGTGTCTCCAGTGACTAGAACAACAGAAGCATTGCTTGATGCCCTTGGTCACCACCTCTGCTCCAGAGGGATGCTTCAGTGCAAGGATGGAGAAACCATTGATGCGATTTGTTACTGTTGACCTCTCTTT